TAAGGAGCCACAAGTACCAACAAGCAGTTAAGAAGGAGCCACAAGTACCAACAAGCAGTTAAGGAGGAGCCACAAGTACCAACAAGCAGTTAAAGAGGAGCCACAAGTCCCAACAAGCAGTAAAGGAGGAGCCACAAGTACCAACAAGCAGTTAAGAAGGAGCCACAAGTACCAACAAGCAGTTAAAGAGGAGCCACAAGTACCAACAAGCAGTTAAGAAGGAGCCACAAGTACCAACAAGCAGTTAAGGAGGAGCCACAAGTACCAACAAGCAGTTAAAGAGGAGCCACAAGTCCCAACAAGCACTTAAGGAGGAGCCACAAGTACCAACAAGCAGTTAAGGAGCCACAAGTACCAACAAGCAGTTAAGGAGGAGCCACAAGTACCAACAAGCAGTAAAGGAGGAGCCACAAGTACCAACAAGCAGTTAAGAAGGAGCCACAAGTACCAACAAGCAGTTAAGAAGGAGCCACAAGTACCAACAAGCAGTTAAGGAGGAGCCACAAGTACCAACAAGCAGTTAAGAAGGAGCCACAAGTACCAACAAGCAGTTAAGGAGGAGCCACAAGTACCAACAAGCAGTTAAGGAGGAGCCACAAGTACCAACAAGCAGTTAAGGAGGAGCCACAAGTACCAACAAGCAGTTAAGGAGGAGCCACAAGTACCAACAAGCAGTTAAGAAGGAGCCACAAGTACCAACAAGCAGTTAAGGAGGAGCCACAAGTACCAACAAGCAGTTAAGGAGGAGCCACAAGTACCAACAAGCAGTTAAGGAGGAGCCACAAGTACCAACAAGCAGTTAAGGAGGAGCCACAAGTACCAACAAGCAGTTAAGGAGGAGCCACAAGTACCAACAAGCAGTCAAGAAGGAGCCACAAGTACCAACAAGCAGTAAAGGAGGAGCCACAAGTACCAACAAGCAGTAAAGGAGCAGCCACAAGTACCAACAAGCAGTTAAGGAGGAGCCACAAGTACCAACAAGCAGTTAAGGAGGAGCCACAAGTACCAACAAGCAGTTAAGGAGGAGCCACAAGTACCAACAAGCAGTTAAGGAGGAGCCACAAGTACCAACAAGCAGTCAAGAAGGAGCCACAAGTACCAACAAGCATTTAAGGAGGAGCCACAAGTACCAACAAGCAGTTAAGGAGGAGCCACAAGTACCAACAAGCAGTTAAGGAGGAGCCACAAGTACCAACAAGCAGTTAAGGAGGAGCCACAAGTACCAACAAGCAGTTAAGGAGGAGCCACAAGTACCAACAAGCAGTTAAGGAGGAGCCACAAGTACCAACAAGCAGTCAAGAAGGAGCCACAAGTACCAACAAGCAGTTAAGGAGGAGCCACAAGTACCAACAAGCAGTTAAGGAGGAGCCACAAGTACCAACAAGCAGTTAAGGAGGAGCCACAAGTACCAACAAGCAGTTAAGGAGGAGCCACAAGTACCAACAAGCAGTCAAGAAGGAGCCACAAGTACCAACAAGCAGTTAAGGAGGAGCCACAAGTACCAACAAGCAGTTAAGGAGCCACAAGTACCAACAAGCAGTTAAGGAGGAGCCACAAGTACCAACAAGCAGTTAAGGACGAGCCACAAGTACCAACAAGCAGTTAAGGAGGAGCCACAAGTACCAACAAGCAGTTAAGGAGGAGCCACAAGTACCAACAAGCAGTCAAGAAGGAGCCACAAGTACCAACAAGCAGTTAAAGAGGAGCCACAAGTGCCAACAAGCAGTAAAGGAGGAGCCACAAGTACCAACAAGCAGTTAAGGAGCCACAAGTACCAACAAGCAGTTAAGAAGGAGCCACAAGTACCAACAAGCAGTTAAGGAGGAGCCACAAGTACCAACAAGCAGTTAAAGAGGAGCCACAAGTCCCAACAAGCAGTAAAGGAGGAGCCACAAGTACCAACAAGCAGTTAAGAAGGAGCCACAAGTACCAACAAGCAGTTAAGGAGGAGCCACAAGTACCAACAAGCAGTTAAGAAGGAGCCACAAGTACCAACAAGCAGTTAAGGAGGAGCCACAAGTACCAACAAGCAGTTAAAGAGGAGCCACAAGTCCCAACAAGCACTTAAGGAGGAGCCACAAGTACCAACAAGCAGTTAAGGAGCCACAAGTACCAACAAGCAGTTAAGGAGGAGCCACAAGTACCAACAAGCAGTAAAGGAGGAGCCACAAGTACCAACAAGCAGTTAAGAAGGAGCCACAAGTACCAACAAGCAGTTAAGAAGGAGCCACAAGTACCAACAAGCAGTTAAGGAGGAGCCACAAGTACCAACAAGCAGTTAAGAAGGAGCCACAAGTACCAACAAGCAGTTAAGGAGGAGCCACAAGTACCAACAAGCAGTTAAGGAGGAGCCACAAGTACCAACAAGCAGTTAAGGAGGAGCCACAAGTACCAACAAGCAGTTAAGGAGGAGCCACAAGTACCAACAAGCAGTTAAGGAGCCACAAGTACCAACAAGCAGTTAAGGAGGAGCCACAAGTACCAACAAGCAGTTAAGGAGGAGCCACAAGTACCAACAAGCAGTTAAGGAGGAGCCACAAGTACCAACAAGCAGTTAAGGAGGAGCCACAAGTACCAACAAGCAGTTAAGGAGGAGCCACAAGTACCAACAAGCAGTTAAGGAGGAGCCACAAGTACCAACAAGCAGTTAAGGAGGAGCCACAAGTACCAACAAGCAGTCAAGAAGGAGCCACAAGTACCAACAAGCAGTCAAGAAGGAGCCACAAGTACCAACAAGCAGTTAAAGAGGAGCCACAAGTGCCAACAAGCAGTAAAGGAGGAGCCACAAGTGCCAACAAGCAGTTAAGGAGGAGCCACAAGTACCAACAAGCAGTTAAGGAGGAGCCACAAGTACCAACAAGCAGTTAAGGAGGAGCCACAAGTACCAACAAGTAGTTAAGGAGGAGCCACAAGTACCAACAAGCAGTCAAGAAGGAGCCACAAGTACCAACAAGCAGTTAAGGAGGAGCCACAAGTACCAACAAGCAGTTAAGGAGGAGCCACAAGTACCAACAAGTAGTTAAGGAGGAGCCACAAGTACCAACAAGCAGTCAAGAAGGAGCCACAAGTACCAACAAGCAGTTAAGGAGGAGCCACAAGTACCAACAAGCAGTCAAGAAGGAGCCACAAGTGCCAACAAGCAGTAAAGGAGGAGCCACAAGTGCCAACAAGCAGTTAAGGAGGAGCCACAAGTACCAACAAGCAGTTAAGGAGGAGCCACAAGTACCAACAAGCAGTTAAGGAGGAGCCACAAGTACCAACAAGTAGTTAAGGAGGAGCCACAAGTACCAACAAGCAGTCAAGAAGGAGCCACAAGTACCAACAAGCAGTAAAGACGACAACTTTCTGCTCCTGGGAATCTAGTGGTCCCATTTAAAACGCCTGCATACAAAACGTCGTGTTTTCTGTCAGACGGAAATTTGCTTTCGAAGCATTTAAATTCTGCTCACGTCCATGATTTACATACAAGGTCAGAAAACTACACCTCATAAATTCCCCTCCCGTCCTGCCCTCCAAGTGTACTAATGCACAGACAGAAAATTTGTTTATATAGATACATTGTTTATATATTAAGAAACTAGCCGGGATTGTCTCGTGTTGAGGCGTTTATTAGCGCTAGGATGATCCACGCCTCCATTTATGTCCAATTTTGTCCTTGAATTTGTATTGATAAAGCCACTGGTTGGCTTAGTGATTATATATATATATATATATATATATATATATATTATATATATATATATATATATATATAATATATATATATATATATATATATATATATATATATATATATATTTATAATCACTATCTGTCGTATCGCCGTATCTCACCCCATGTATCTGTTCTTCCACCTTTCAATGTACATAGTTAAAATTTACCGCTACTCTTCGCCCCGTATATCACTATTTCATCCGTACACTGCTACATTCGTCCTTTCATCGGTACTTTCGCTACATATATTGATGTAATTGCTAAGTATAGCGCTAATTTTGCCAAATATATCGCTACATTCGTCTTATATATCACTATATTCGCCACCTATGTCTATATTCACCTAGTATATCGCTGTATTATCACAATGTTTATATTCATCCCGTTCATCCCGTATATCGTCAGTTCAAATAATCTTTCTAAAATTCAACCTACGTATGATAGTTTACTTTGCGATATATAACAAAGACGAAGATGATACACCAATCACATGCGAGAATTGGTTGAATATATAGCACTAATATCAGTTGATTGCTACCGTCTCTCGAGGCGCGTTTGTTGCCCTGTATATCAGCGTTCAACTCTGTCGCTATCTGATGTCTGATGGGTGACCAGTGGTCAGCTCCGACACCATCTGTTGCGTTGTCTGACGTGTGATCGGGGCTTAACCCTGGCGACGTCTGATTATCATACACACACATTGGGGTTGGTAGTGGGATAAAAGGCCCACACGATGAGAGACGCACATGTGTTGTTACCTGAAACCTTTTATTACTGTCGGTGTCTTCTATTACCATCAGCGCATTTTATTGCTACCAGTGTCTTATTTCCACTTGTAAGGTCGCGCTAGTGTTTATCTAGCTTCACACGACTTTGTGCGCCCTGTAATATCAAGTTCAACTCGGTGGTTATTAACCAGCATTGAACAAGGAAATGTTCTCTCACTCCTCGAGTCATGTCACTCATGGTTTGATAAATACATTCCATGGCTGTCACTCAGTTCAGTATGCTTCTTGATCCATGTCAGTGTGTTGGCTCACACTGCCAAAGACAAGTCAGTCCAATGATTTAGTGTAATACATTCCACGCACCCTGTCAGTCTCAAGGCTCAGTGTGACTCTTCAGTTAAGCCTCATGATTTCACTGCAACACGCTTCAGGGTCTAGGGGTTCAATAGTCCAGGCCTGGAGTGGGAAGCTTGCTTGCTTGCTTGCTTGCTTGTCTCACACCCTTTCTGACCAAAACTCCAAGTTCATGAATATGATAAATAACAACTGAAGCCTTACCTGGTTGGAGCGACGCTCCTAAACCGCTGCACAGTGAAAGTATTCAGCCAGTCCTGTAAGGAAACAATGAATATCACTGAGCACATTTTAGTGGGCAATAGCATTTAAAAAGGCATTCAAAAGTGAAAAGAACAGCATCCAAAACAATGATCCTGTTAGAGCGAAACGTTATCTCAAAAAAAAGGCACGTTGTGCTAGGAGGCTTTTGGGTCATAACCAAAATCTCGTGAAGTCTTTTAAGATTCAATATGGATTAATCAGATATAAAACAGGAAATCTGGAGGGAGTTAGGGAGGCTGTTGGGTTTAAAGAACACAACGACTCAAGGTCGCATCTTGGGTTTGCAACCCAAGAACCCGGGATCAATTTCGGATGGGCAAATCATCTTACATCTGCTGCCCATGTTCATCTACCAGAAAATAGGTACCTGTGATTCCCTGACACTATCATAAAAGCATTATAATTTTTCCTCGATGCATCTAGATCCAACGGGATTTTTCAAGGTAAATGTCTAATTGGGTCTACAGCCTATCGATTAATCAAAGGGCTATTAAGGCCTCATGGAACCTGTACACAAGTGAAACGACTAATCTCTAAAATAGGCACTAAAGTAATCCATCAGTGTATATACATATAGAAATACATCTCTCGTCGTATATATTCCTATCAGCATAATTTCCGGGTTACGCCCTTTAGTGCATGACTGGACATAAACTACCGTGTCATTTCTCTTCTCTTCCTTGTATCCTCTGTCATATCAGTCTCCCTCTCTCCCATGGAAAATTTAAACTTAATTCCACCTTAATGTATAGTGTTAAACTTACATTATTACATTTCAAAGCCAAAAACTGTGATGTACTATGATTCCCCCTTCTCAGGATGCGACCCACAACAGTCAGCTAAGATACCTATTTGCTGCTAGGTGAACAGCGGCAACAGGTTCAAGGTAATACGGCCAACGTATCCACCAGCCCCAGAATCGAACCTTCTTCTCACGGGTATTCCCTCGAGTTTGAGTGTAAATCATGTCTCGATGTAAATGTTAACATTAATGTAAATAATTCAGTATATTCTTATCACCTTCTGTTGTAACTTATTTTCACAGAGTTGACTTATTTAGCTGTTTTAACTCTTAAGGTTATTATAGTCGTGATTAATTTCTAGTGTAACTTACTGCTAGGCTTTAATGAGATTTCAAGGACACCAATGGAAATAAGTCACTAACTTTCCTAGGTAATTTACACTTGTATGATAATTGTACTTATGTGTATTTGTACCTAAATGAATTTACATACTATATCCATTAATAACAAAGTTTCATTCTGGTATTTTTTTTATATAGGCTTCGTATTTAACAAGGATCTTTACTGACCTATATTGTTTCGATTTTTTTTTCAAACAAACGTGGGTAATGAAATAGGTGTTTGGAAGTGTGTCGTTTCTATCCAAATCAGCCACATTTCCTTATTCTTCGTCTCCTAGTGGCCTGAGAAAAGAGATAAGAAAGAAATAATAGAAGGAAAGATAAGAGGAGATAGGATGAATGAAGGGAGAAGAGAGGAGAGGGTTTACAGGAGAGTTCTCCTCTATCTGCTAGTTCGATAGCTGGCACACCAGGCTCGTTAAGGATGCAATTACAGCGATGGAATATGATTGTTATTACACCCCTAATTGCTGCCACACCGGCACACCTGCATGTTGGCACCACCACATTTGTCTGGTGGTACCACATCTGCCTGGTGGCACCGCATCTGTTTAGTGGCACCGCCACATCTGTTTAGTGGCACCGCCACATCTGTTTAGTGGCACCGCCACATCTGTTTAGTGGCACCGCCACATCTGTTTAGTGGCACCGCCACATCTGTTTAGTGGCACCGCCACATCTGTTTAGTGGCACCGCCACATCTGTTTAGTGGCACCGCCACATCTGTTTAGTGGCACCATTATACTTGAATGGTGACGCTACAACTGCCTAGATTTCACATCGTTAATGCCAAAAGGAGCATATTTCAGCTCTCTACATTATTATTATTCCCATGGAAGTGTTAACTAGTGACGTCTATTCGCATGCTGACTCCTCCATTAAAAACATTTGCTAACTGGACGCTGGTAACTCAACTAGTTAGTTCGTTTAACAATGTTTACACACCTAATAAACATCAGAATTCAAGCTGAGAAGTCGGCTAATATGCTTTGCTCAGCCTCCCTGCTTCTAACAGCTTAATTATCATCACAGGTATATGAACTTCAGCTAACTACACCCTGGCAGCTAGGTAATAAGGTTTATATAACTACACACTGACAATTAACCAGTAAACTTCCCCTAACTATAGCCTGGCAGCTAGCTAATAAACTTCACTTAACTACACCCCGTGGCAGCTAGCTAATAACGTCATCAAGTTAGAGGGAGACACAAGCATCAGTCCACCTGGTCGTATCTCTGCTCTGACGCACCATAAATCAAGGCACTGTATTTAAGCATTGTAAACACTGTGGCTGGTGTAGGGAGTACGAGGCGGAGGGAGGGGGGAAAGAGAGGGAAAGAGAGAGAGA